TCGAAGATGATAACGAATTACTGAGGAGGTGGGACATCAGGTCCTTTATTAAAGAAAATAACACTTTCCTCGGTATTACCTACTTTTAGAGAATACTCTGACACTCTCTTCAGATCAGCTGTTACAAGATATTGCGTTCATGCGGTAGCGCCTGTGGGAGCGACTTGTAGGCTCATACTTAAGAGGTTATCCGAACACAAAACAGCCGCAATGGTCTTTGTGTCCAGAAATCTGAAGTGGCCGAACAGATGGCTCGCACAGGACACCAGATAAACTGGTCTAATGCCAAACGCTTAGCTGGATATGGGGAATATGCCAGTAAGAGAAAGATTAGGGAAGCAATAGGAATTAACAAAACAGCCAACATCCTGAATAGGAGAAATGAGTATAGGAAGCAAAGTGGAAACTACTTGTGGCTGTTGGATAAAATTAAAGATAGAAAGGGGAGAACGAGAAGTACAACCGAGCAAAAGAAAGTCTTGATTAGCCTCGAATCTTGTTTTGACTCTCACATCACACTCATTTCAAGAGCAAAGCACTCACACAACACGCGTTCAACGGAACGCAATCACATGCAGTATGGAAGGATGCAGTTGTTCGGTCGCAATTATATCTGTTTCACAATTCATCTGCAGCCACCTAACTTAACTTTCGAGCAAGAATTTAGGTAAAGCATAGGATATCCAATCAAAACACGAGATGCATAGGTGGACCAAATTGGACTATGAAGAGTAGGTAGGTTTGAAGCCGACCACCCTTCTTGCCTTCGTGTTTTGATGAAGTATCATTAAACATGCTGTGCTGCTCTGACTATGTCCGTCACATGATGGATGAAAGCTCAGCAAGGATTCATCGGGGTCGCGAGCCAGTGTGCCGAGGACCTATTCGCACAAATCTACAACCACAGCTCCAAGGAACAGACATACGAATCCCTTCCATTCGTCACTTCAAACGAAATGAAAGGTACCCCAACATCAATACTAGTTTAAGCATCTTATCAATGGCATCCATGACTGGAGTCGACCATATAGTCAGATTTTCTATAACATATATATGATTATCCTGTAAAGTATTCTGTTTTCATAATCACAATTTGATGTGTTATGCTCATCGATCTAAAAAATAATCTAGTCAAAAGTGTCACCAACCAGAATTGTTTCCTATTATAAGAAAATGCAATCTTATATAAGTTCTTAATATATCCTATATTTTAAAAAAAGTAATGCTGAAAAATAAAGACTTGAAGGGATAAATAAATAGATAAAATACCTTCTCCTACCAACCCAGAGCATACATGAAAGACTCAAAGAAAGGGAACATAAGCTCGAAAGGACAGTCAGACAAACATAAAATCTTGTCATTATGTAGAAGTGTTATAAAAAGAATCCACACAAGGATTGACACAAAAGCCATACTCTTTTATCTCTAGGGCTGATTCCCTTAAATAAGGGAATGTTATCGATATCGGAACGAAAAATATATTCCTCATATAGTTGTTAGCTGCATCTGATTTAAGGTAAAATATGCAGAATTTCAGTCAATTAAATCTTGGACAAGATAGACTATATTCTTAGTTCTGTAAACAAGGTTTAATCATATTAAACAAAATAGGGTAAATACATCTTATAGACTAGCATGTATTGGCAAAACTTTCCTTTAGCATAAAAATCATAATTTAAAACATGTGTAGCTTGGTTCTCTTGTAACACTACGGGGGATCCTTTTTGGTATGTTGCTGGCTAGCCATTCTGGAATGCTTATGATGACGCGATATTCTAAATGCCAACATTAGATTCCGGTTAAAAAGTGCTAAGCTTTCTATCGCCATATAGCAGGCAACATCGGATATAGGAAATATCTTAATAATGACTTTAACCTAAAAGTCAATAGGCCCTTTTTTGTCTACTTCTTAGATGAGCCTGATTACAACGTCTTGCACTAGACAACGATGCAGTCAATATTCATGTCTTTCAGTGTGTATTAGAAAACAGTTACCAGCAATATCTTAGATAAGGGATTAAGGTTGGCTGAAACTCAAAGCAATTATAGTCCAGATTGACGGTCTCTATAATATTCTTATAATCTCAAGGCCTTATATTTTTGATAGGCTTCCAAAGAAAATTATCATTTTCATTCTATTTGAAACATTTTACTGTATAGAAGTATATTTATAGTTGTCGTACTCAAATATCCATTCTAGATGATTCAAACAAAAAAAATGCCAGATACTATGAAAACCAAATAGGATGCATAATTTTAAGAGCTTAACAAGAATAAAATGACTAAAGACGACTAGTAATATTATTTGAACTGATACAGTAATAGAAATATATAATTTGCATAAACCCTAGAAGGATAATCCAATACTACTAAATATTTAACTATTAAAAGGCTATATAAATATATTTATGGCAACTAACACAGTGATAATAGATAGAGAGTTATATGCAAAATGAATGTCAAATAAAAACAATGACATGCAGTTATAAGGTAAAAAAATTGCAGAAAATAGAAGAAAGTGTGTAAGATACGTACAAGGCTGCAGCAACCGCATTCATCCAACTGGTTCTAATCTCCTCCGTCTTGGCGTAGAAGTTAACTGCGGCCACTGGAGCTGACTGACCACCAGCAAGTGGCATAGAGAAGCCGTAAGCGTACTTATCAGAAATTGGAAGTGAAGAGGAGCGGTTTATCAGAATTTGAGTATAGAAAGAGTGAGAAGTTAATACAAGGAAGAATAATCTGAAGAATATAAGCATTTTAAGGAATCAAAAAGAGATAGAGTAAAATGACTTATCTAGGAAAATAACATTGAAAATTAGGTAAATATGATAGCACCTTGCTTAAAGGTGCACTCAGTCTGCAAGATTCGAGGTATATAGGGGCTATAAACGCACAAATTTAGGAGGTAAATCAGTTAAATATATCGCTTCCATAGATAGTAAATTCATCTCATGAATCCAAATGATCGAGGACTAAATTTTTCTCAGCACTGACGCCGTCCCCAAACCCTAGTCCATTCAGATTGCTTATAAATGTTCTCATCAAACCCCCTATCTTGACCTATGTTGATATTATCAGAACTTAAGAATGGATAACTTATGTGCGAATAAAAAATAAATAAGTATGACATGATAATTTTGATATAAATATAAAGAATAATCTTTATGCCGTCATTGTCATTCTTTATATCCCAATATATTGTCACAAGATTTGCACATTTTTTATCCACTCTTTTGCCCTCCAACGAAAAGTAACTATGCTTTGAGACTAAGTAAAATAAAAGTAAACAATAGTGCTAACAATGGTAACTTACCTTATCGTTTCGTTTTATCGGAAGAATTGAATAGGAAGCCTGCTTTGAAACATGAAACGCTACTTGAAAAGTGAAGCTTTCGCCCTAAAATAATAAAAATTACCACAATGTAAAAATAAAATGTCAAACTATGCTACGGCTACTTTATAATCTTTTACAAACAAGATATGTGCAAAATACTTTAAACCCCAATATAAGCCTCCGGCTTGTCTAAAAAGTGTCTCACCTAAGTAATTATCCTCCATTCGATCCAGATTTATTTAATTGGTATAAAAATAATGTTAATATATGAAAACCAATTAGCTTCGGGTAAACTCAATATGATATAAAGAGTAGATGGGTTTCGAAGAATCTCCTGCGATAAGATTGATGTGGAGGCTTTCATTAAGAAGAGATTCGTAGGTTGATCCCATCACAAGGCAATGGCTGATTACCGTTCTACTGAAGCTGTTTAGCTTCTACAAGCCATTCAGGCTGACGCAGTACACGGAGCATACTCACTTGTTTCGGGGGAAAAAGGGGTGAGCTTTCGTGCAACATGTGATCGACATTATAAGAACACTTTCATTTAAAATGAAAGTCTCTCCAAAAACTCAATAAGGTATAGAAAATTACTTCCGTTAATATAAGTGCAGAGCTGATTAATAAGTGATCGGTAGCAGGCGCAAAGGATAAGTCTAAGTAGCTTGTGAGAATGTGGAGTGATAAAATAAGTAATGATGAAGCAAAATCAGCCCATTAATGAAGATACGGAGAACAAGATGCTGTGGCGTGTAATCTGGTCGCGGTCTCCTTTCGAAGTAAAGTAGCTGCATGACCTTGTTTTCACAACATTGCCTTATTGGTAGGAAGACCTAGAGGAAATCACCTAACCAGGAGTCCATATCATGCATGATAATTTTCAGCGTCGGACCGTGAACTTGGTGCATTCCCAGACGCTTCGCCTGCATCGTAGTCGGCATCGTCAGTGAGCCTTGCCAGCTTTAGCACCACACCACAACACGTCAAAGAGACAAGTGATATCAATGCCCTTACCAACATTCTGCTGAAATTGTTGTGCTATCAATCCTCTTTCTGTACA